TTGGGCGACGAGTTTGACATGCTTGCTATAAATAAACACTTAAATTGATCCAATCACCTCCTACTAGACTGAAAGGATTTTTTATATAAAACTGTCTTAGAAATGTAATCACTGCCTAATAGCTTTTCGTTTATCCATTCAACAACAGTTTTTCTATCTTGTCAATGGCTATTATTGTTACTTTGTTATTTTGTGAGCACTTTCACACCCTTAACGACATTAGCACACTTTTTCTTTCCCTATTTTTTTAAATCCTCAACTGAAGATATTTTCCCAATGATTGTTATTTTTTTAAACTTCTTTCTTTTTTCTTTATTATTTTTTTTGGATGTTCCAAATAATAGGGTTAATGTTTATCTTTTTTTTATTTTATAGTATTGCACATGTATCTTTTTTCCTTGATTGACACATCCCACCCTTCCACTCCCACCCCAGAAGGCAAGCCCACAGCCCCCTGTGTAAATGACTATTGGCTATGCTAATATGCATGCACACAAGTCCTTTGATTGATCTCTATACCCCTCCCTTGCCCCTTGTCTCTGGATCTATTTTTGCTCATCAGTTTATGTTGATCATTATATTCCACATATGAGAGAAATCATGTGATATTTATCATTCTCCGACTGGCTTATTTTGCTTAGCATTATTTTCTCCAGTTCCATACATGCTGTTGCAAATGGTAAATGTTTCTTCTTTATTTATTTATTTATTTTCTTTAAATTTAACTTTGTATGTATTTTTAAAAATATATTTTATTGATTTTTTACAGAGAGGAGGAGAGAGGGATAGAGAGCTAGGAACGTCGATGAGAGAGAAACATCCACCAGCTGCCTCTTGCACACCCCCTTCCGGGGATGTGCCCACAACCAATGTACATGCCCTTGACCAGAATTGAACCTGGGACCTTTCAGTCCCCAGACCGACGCTCTACCAATGAGCCAAACCGGTTTCGGCTGTTTCTTCTTTTTTTATAGCAGTGTAGTATTCCATGGTGTAGATGCACCACAGTTACTAAATCCACTAATCTGCTGATGGGGACTTAGGATGTTTCCAAATCTTAGCTATCATGAATTGTGCAGCTATGAACATAGGGGTGCATATATCCTTTCTGATTGGTGTTTTTGGTTCCTTGGGATAAAATCTCAGAATGAGATTACTGGGGGAAATGGGAGTTCCATTTTGAACTTTTTGAGGAAACTCCCTACTCTTTTTCACAGCAATGATTTTAAGAGACAGTGGAAGGGAGAGAGAAGACAGAAACCTCCCAGTGAGAGAAACACATCAATTGGTTTCCTCCTGCACATGCCTTGTCCAGGTTCCATGTGGCAGAGGCACCTGCAATCAAGATAGGTACTCTTGAACCAAGTGAAAGCTGGGACCTGCAGTCTGCAGGCAAAGCCCTATCCACTGACAAAAACGAGCTAGGACTCACCAATAAAGATTTCAATACGTCCTAGCTGGTTTGACTCAGTGGGTAGAGGGGTGGTCTATAGACTAGTGGCCCCGTTCCATTCCAGTCCAGGACTCAACCTTGGGTTGTCAGCTCTACTCCAGTAGCTGTGTGAAGGAGGCATCAATAATGGTTCTCTCTCATCAATGATGTGTCCTTTCTCTCTTTTCCTCTCTCTGAAATCAATAATATATATAGATAGATTACATTAAGTAAAAAAAAAAAAAACATTTAAATAAATAAAATATTGTAGAGAAGATCAAGGGAGAATAGCCGAGATGCAAATCAGATCATACATATTACCAGCTTTAATCCTTTTTGGCCTCAAGAAAGCAATGAAAATCCCCTTACCCTGGTTCACCCCACCCCGGTGAGGGACCAGCCAATAGGCTTTGGTGGGCGTGGATAATAGCTGGAGCTTCTACTGGATCATATATACCTGGGTCAGGTCTGGCGCATGCAGTCCTGTGCCTCGCGCTGTGGAAAGCTCCTGGTGGGAGATTCGCCTCTCCCTTTGGCGTTTCACAACGGAGAAGAGCCTCTGCAACTGGTGAGTCCGGAGTTGGGACCAAGTGGGGCGGGCGGCCAGAGTGAGGAAGACCCGTGGGTTCCTGAGGGCCTGCTCTGTGCCCCAATGAAAGACATAGACCTCCAAAGGGGATTCAAACTCGGGACTGGCTAGTTTTAAAACATAAGCGGTTATGTTTTCTCCCCTTCCCCCAGCCCCGTGGGAACCTTAAGTGACCTAAATGCCCTTTAAAATTTTAGCCATCCAGACGTGACGCCCCAGGAGTCAGGAATGGGAACATTGGTTTGGGGTAAAGCCAAGGCGAAGGTCCTCAGACACCCGCTGCTCACAGTTGCCCAGAGCTGTGGGCAGTAAAAACTGCTTTCTGTGCAGCTGCCCTGGAAGGACCAGTCTGCACTACCAGAGGGAATTCGAATTCGGATTGAGGTTATTTGAGCACACATGCTTTCATTATGGGGAGTCTTGTACTAAGTCATAGAATGCTTGCTAAAATTTCAGAAACCAGGATCCCATCCGGATCTTAGCGGGTGTCAAACGCCTTATGGAGCTGGTCTGGAGCTACATGTGGATTTGTGTTCATTATGTCTCCTCTCAGGGAGGCTGGGCTCGCGTGCACGCGGAGATAGGTGGGAGTGTTTGTGTGCAGGAGGGCAGGGGAGAGGTTAGCCCGAGGGCCTGATTCCCAGATGCTCAGAACCAGTGTTGATTCCATCTTCCTTAATTGGCCTGGAGAGAGCCTCCCACAGTATAAGCAGGTGTTGAAGTCTCTCAGTCCCTGAAGGAGACCCCAACTCCAGGCCAGTTTTTCCTTATTAGACAGCTTTAGCCAGGGACTGGGGGTACATGGTGAGAATCACAGGGAGATATAGTACTGGAGAATTGAAATCTTCCAAATGTGTGTTATTTTGTGACGAGTTGAAAAAAAATCATGATAGTGCTTTGAATGTTTCTTGACATTGAGGCAACCTAGGAGACCCATCCTGGAGGTCATTTTAGCCACTTGGTTTCTGCTAAAATCTGTGCCTTAAAGGATTTTTAAATGTAAAACTGCCTTGGAAATGGTTTCGCTGGTTAACCGATCTTCCTTTATCCAATCAACAAGTTTTGTTTACCGTTGCAATTGCTTGTGATTGTTGTTTGGGAGCACTTTCACTCCCCTAGCACAGTTAGCAGTGTATTCTTTCTTTCTTTTTCTTCTTTCTTTCTTTCTTTCTTTCTTTCTTTCTTTCTTTCTTTCTTTCTTTCTTTCTTTTTTTTTTTTTTTTTTTTTTTTCAGTTCTTTCCCAAGACTATTATCTCATTGCTTTTTAGGTAGACTGGAAGTGGAAGAGAGAGGGAACGATGTAGAGAAACCGGGATTTGAGAGAAACAAATCCCGGTTTGTTTGTGATCCTTTTTTTTTTTTTTTTTTTTTTTTTTTTTTTTTTAAATATATTTTATTGATTTTTTACAGAGAGGAAGAGAGAGGGATGGAGAGTTAGAAACATCGATGAGAGAGAATCATTGATCAGCTGCCTCTTGCACAACCCCTACTGAGGACGTGCCCCCAACCAAAGTACATGCCCTTGACCGGAATCGAACCCGGGACCCCTCAGTCTGCAGGCCGACACTCTATCCACTGAGCCAAACTGGTTTTGACTGGTTGTGATAATTTTGAGAGTACCTTCACACACTTAGCAATATTGAGGAAAAATGTTAGAAGCCTTTCTAACAAATTTTAGAATTTGACTGAGGATAAAAAGGATCATCAAGTCATCCTGTCACAGAAATCACCTGGGGCAGTGTACCATTTTCTTTCTTTTTTTAATAATATATTTTTTAAATTAAATTATTATTTTTGTACATATACCAATGCCCCCCCTCCCGTACATACCCTCCCTCCCCATAGTTTTATGTCCATTGGTTGTACTTATATGCATGTATACAAGTTCTTCAGTTGATCTCTTATCTTCCCCCAGATCTCCCCAACAGTGTACCATTTTCTATGTACCATCTTCTAGGATATTTTCCCATTGATATTTTGAGAGACTGAAAGAGAGACAGAAACAAAGAAACATGGATGTGAGAGAAACATGTTGATTTGCTGGCTTCTGCAGGTGCCCATACCTGGGCCAGGGCCCAGAGGTGCCTGAAACCCAGGTACACGCCTTTAAATGGAAATGAACTTGGGACCCTTAGGTACTCATTCCAAACCTCTATACACTAGACCTTAGCTTCTAGGACAACATTAGCTCTGTTGATGATCACATTATGTTTTGAAATTGTGCTAATTATTTTTTCTTAAATGTATTTTATTGATTTTTCACAGAGAGGAAGGGAGAGGGATAGAGAGTTAGAAACATCGATGAGATGTTTGCACTGGGGATGTGCCCGCAAACAAGGTACATGCCCTTGACCGGAATCGAACCCGGGACCTTTCAGTCCGCAGGCTGATGCTCTATCCACTGAGCCAAACCGGTTTCTGCAAATTGTGCTAATTATTGATTTAGCCACCAACAAAAGCATTCTTTCCTGTGGTTTTTTGTTGTTGTTTGTTTGTTTGTTTTTTGTTTTTTTGTCTGAGATACTTTTTGTCATGCGGAGGTATCAGCATGAAAGAGCTCTCAGGTGGAAAACAAGTTTTGGTGGACAACTGAGACATTTTCTGTGAACAATTTGGTTGCGAGAACTGTATTGTTTGGGATGGGAGATGAGGTTTGATTATCATAAATTCAGTGTTACTAGAAATTACTTCTTTTTTCTATGCTAATCCTTACCTGAGAATATTATTTCCATTGATGGTTTTGTAGAGAGTGGAAGGCAGTGAGGGAGTGGGGTGGAAGAGAAAGGAAAAGCATTGCTGTGGGAGGCAAGTCCATTGGTTGCCTCCTGAGATAGCCCCCATCGGAGCTGGGGATGCAACCTGCAGTAGGCACATGCTCTTGAACGGAACCCAAGACTCTTGGGTAATCGGGTCAATACTGTAATCAGTGGCAGACACTGGCCAGGGCAGAAATAACCATGTTAAGACTCCGGGTAAAGATGGCGGAGCGCGGATACAGCTTTTCGTTTACTACTTTCAGTCCATCCGGTAAACTTGTTCAGATTGAATATGCTTTGGCTGCTGTAGCTGGAGGAGCCCCTTCAGTGGGAATTAAAGCTTCAAATGGTGTGGTATTAGCAACAGAGAAGAAACAGAAATCCATTCTGTATGATGAGCGAAATGTACACAAAGTGGAGCCAATTACCAAATACATAGGCTTGGTATATAGTGGCATGGGCCCAGACTACAGAGTGCTTGTGCACAGAGCTCGAAAACTAGCTCAGCAATATTATCTTGTTTACCAAGAACCCATTCCCACAGCTCAGCTGGTACAGAGAGTAGCTTCTGAGATGCAAGAATATACCCAATCAGGTGGTGTTCGTCCATTTGGAGTTTCTTTACTAATTTGTGGTTGGAATGAGGGGAGACTATATTTATTTCAGTCAGATCCATCAGGAGCTTACTTTGCCTGGAAAGCCACAGCGATGGGAAAGAACTATGTGAATGGAAAAACTTTTCTTGAGAAAAGATATAATGAAGATCTAGAACTTGAAGATGCCATTCATACAGCCATATTAACACTTAAGGAAAGCTTTGAAGGACAGATGACAGAAGATAACATAGAAGTTGGAATCTGCAATGAAGCTGGATTTAGGAGGCTCACTCCAACTGAAGTTAAGGATTACTTGGCTGCCATAGCATAATGAAGTGACTGAAAATCTGGAATTACAGATAATCTCTATACTTAAACATGTTTAAAGTATGTTTTGTTTTGCAAACTTTTTGCATACTCATTTCTACATGATTTAATGGATCAGTGTTTTTAAAATGATACTTATAACTCATAATAAACTGTTAAATAAAAAAAAAAAAAGAAATAACCATGTTAAGACAAAAAGTGCCAAATCCATTGCTGAGGTTTTTCAAAAACTGGAAGTGAAGGATGTTAGGATTTTTACAATTGTTTACCTGACTCTCTACTGTTAAGGATGTAAAGCACTTTCCCTAACCCCCTAGATAATAGGTGACTAAAGGTGGAACCTAGCCCACGGACATAGAATCTAGTAGGAAACATTCTCACATATTTTGCAGTTCCATGTAGACCCACAGTGATGAATGTGGGTGTAGTCCACATGTTTGGCTGGGAAAAAGAAATCAATTGTTCCCCATAAGGTGGCAGTTAACAGGGCAGAGTCACAAGATGAATAATTAGTTTTTCCTGTCTTTCTTTCTTTCTTTCTTTCTTTCTTTCTTTCTTTCTTTCTTTCTTTCTTTCTTTCTTTCTTTCTTTCTTTCTTTCTTTCTTTCTTTCTTCACAAGATGAATAATTAGTTTTTCCTGTGTTTGTTTCTTTCTTTCTTTCTTTCTTTCTTTCTTTCTTTCTTTCTTTCTTTCTTTCTTTCTTTCTTTCTTTCTTCCTTCCTTCCTTCCTTCCTTCCTTCCTTCCTTCCTTCCTTCCTTCCTTCCTTCCTTCCTTCCTTCCTTCCTTCCTTTCTTTCTAACAAGAAACTATTTTCTCATCAACAGGAACCAGTTGGTACCCAAAAGCCACAATTGCTTTCTGACCAAGAGAATTGCTGAACTTGGATTCATATCCTCGGAGCTGCCAAGGACAGTAGTCCTCCAACTACTTTGATTGGCTGCAGGTGGACAGAAGAACTCCTCTGGGCACCTTCCTCTGTAGGTAAGGACCTCATCGGACTCCAAGGGCTGCCCTTATTGATAAGAGAGAATTTACACAGGAAGGTCAGCGAGATCTGAAGGTGCATCTGCCTCTGGGTGGAGAAGTTTCACAGAACTCAACCTCATGGAGAAACACACCTCAGTCCCATCCTTCACTCAGGGCGCAATGGCAGGTGAAGAAGCTGTGGAAAAACTCCTGACAGAAATCAACTGTCCCATCTGCCTGGATGGCCTGAGAGACCCTGTCACCATCGAATGCAGGCACAACTTCTGTCGCTCCTGCATCCAGCAGTCCTGGGCTGATCTGCAGGCCATTTTCCCATGTCCTGTGTGCCGTCACCCATGCCAGGATTCTCGCACGTGGAGTAACACCCAGCTGGGAATGATGGTAGACACGGTCAAGCTCCTCCAGATCACCAAGGATAAGAGGAAGCGGCAAGAAGGGAGGCAAGAAGGGAGACGCTTGTGTGAGAAGCACAACCAGCCCCTGACCCTCTTCTGTGAGGAGGACCTACAGCTGCTGTGTGCCCTGTGCACTCAGCCCCCTGACCACCAGGGCCACCAGGTGAGGCCCATTGAGGAGGCTGCCTCTCATCACAGGCAAAGGCTCAGCAGTTACATTGGGCCCCTGAAGAAGCAGATGGCAGACACTCAGAAACTACTAGATACCCAAGGCAGGAGACTATCAGAACTGAGACAAAAGGCGGAAAACAGGAGAGAAAAGTTAGCCTCTGAATTTGCGCAGCTGATGGAGTCTGTTGAGTGTGAGGAACAGGCAGTTATCTCAAGGATAACTGCAGAAGAGAAGCACATTCTACGGAATCTCAGTGCCAACAAAGCTGCATTTTCAGACTACATTTCCAAACTTAAAGTTCTACTAAAGGAGTTGGCAGAGAAGAGTGTGATGTCAGATGTAAAAATGATGATGAATATCAAAGATGTCTTCGACCGTTGTGAAAAACTACAACCCCCAACTGTCTATTCTTTTCAGTTTAAGAGAGAAGAATTCAGTCTTCCTCCACAATGTTCAGCCCTGCAGAAAATTATACAGAGATTTAGAGAAGAAATTACCCTAGATCCTGAAACTGCACATCCTTATCTGCTGGTGTCTGAGGATAGAAAGTCTGTGACATTTGTGAAGAAAAAGAAAAGAGTTCAGTGGAATCCAAAGCGATTTATGGTTGACCCAGTTGTCCTGGGCACTAAAGGGTTTGACTGTGGCCGACATTACTGGGAGGTGCAGGTGGATGACAAGCCTGAGTGGGCCATGGGGGTCTGTAAAGACTCCCTCTCTGAGGAGAGAGAGCAGCCCCTGCTAAGACAGAAGAACAGATGTTGGATGATTCAGCTGCTGGATGGTGACTATGTGGCAGGAGGGTCTGCTCCTGTCACCCTTGTGCTGAAGGAAATGCCCAGAAGGATTGGCATCTATCTGGACTATGAGTTGGGTCAGATTTCCTTTTACAGTTTGAATGACAGGTCTCATATCCATTCCTTCAAGGACACATTTTCTGAAGTGCTAAAGCCTTACTTCTATATCGGATGTGACCCCAAACCTCTTACTGTCTGTGCTTTAAGAGATTAGGAAGGATTCATTTTCTTCTTGTGATCTAGTACATAGAATTTTTTAATCATAATTTTTAATTCATGTATATTTTAAATAGTTATTATTGAAAGTATTACATAGGTCCTTATATAGTTAGAATTTTGTACAACTCTCAGTGATCCAGCATCAAAATTTTTTAGTGATATTGATTTTTTGAGAGGGAAAGGGAAAAAGAAATATCAGTGTGAGAGAGAATTACTTTTGGTTGCCTGCAGAATGGACCAAGGTGGGATTGAACCCCAATCAGAGTATGTGCCCTGACTAGGAATAGAATCAGCCACCCTTTGGTTCATGGACGATGCTGCAACTAACTTAGTCATACTGGCCAGGGCTAGCATCAAAATTTTGTATAAAAACACATCTGTGACTTGGAACATTACTCTCATTTCCCTATTCCCCCCATTTATCTTTAAGAGCATGGATTAATGGGAACAAATGGAAGTGTGGAATATTTGGAATAATGACTGATCCGTTTTTTCTGAAGTGTTTCTGAAATTTTTGGATTAGAATGTATTTCGTCTATGTTTTAGAATGCAACTCTATGCATAAGTTTCTCATACATTCCAAGTAGGAGAGATGATAGAATTATGGGGGACTCGGAGGTTTACAATTATTTTATTTTTGCATCCATTGAGAATAAGGTACTGATTGCTCCCAACTATTATAATAAAAGAGCAATATGCAAATTGTCACTCCATCAGGGAGGGCAGTGGTGGAAGATCAGACATGCAGGGGAGGGAATTGGGGGTCTGGGCCTGCAGAGCAGGATAGTTGGGGGCAACCAGGCCTGCAGGAGAGATCAGTTAAGGGCAATTGGGCCTACAGGGGAGCTGTTATGTGTTGATCAGGCTGGCAGGGGAATGCTTAGGGGTTTATCAGGATGGCAGGCAGAAGTCAGGGGCAATCATGCAGGCAGGCGGTCAAGTGGTTGTGAGAGGGACCCCAGATTGCAGAGGGTGAAGACTAGGGTGAGGGACATCCCACCCCGCACAAATTTCATGCACCAGGCCTCTATTTTTTTTTTTTTTTTAATACATTTTGACAGATTTTGGAGAGGGAGAGGGAAAGATGGAAACATCAATTATGAGAGAATCTTTGATTGGTACCTCCTGTACACCACCCACTGGGGATCGAGCCTACATCCCAGGCATATGCCCTTGACAGGAATTGAACCTGGGATCCTTTAGCCTGCAGGCTTATGCTCTACCCAGTGAACCAAACCAAATAGGTCTTCCAGCTATTTTTATGAATTTTTTTTAAATGGTGTCTTGATCAGATTTTTAGATCTGATCAAGATCTTTCATCCTCTTTTTTTTTCACACCTGAGAAAGTTGAGAATTCCAGGTGTACAACCCTTTGGTGCAACTAGAAAGTTGAACCTTCCAACGAGATCAAGAGTTATACATTGAAAACTAAAACATTGCTGAAATTACAGACCTAAGTAAATTGAAAGATATCACATTCTCTTGGATTGGAAGAATTAAGATAGCAATACTACTAAAAGCAATATACGGAATCATTACCTAAAAAACCTAATGGTAATTTTAGTAAAAAATGGATAGCTGATAGAATTTATATGGTATAAGATAGACCTAATAGACAAAATAATACTGAGTAGGGAGAGGTGAGATAATCATCGATGTGAGAGTACAACATTGATGGGCTGCCTCTTGCATGCCCACTAAACGGGATCAAGCCTGCAAGTGGGCATGTGCCCTTGAGCAGGAATTGAACTGGCAACTTCCTGCTGCATGATGATGATGTCCAACCAACTGAGTCACACCATCCAGGCTAATCTTTCATTTTCTTGAGTCATGTATTATGTTATGTCCTTGAACCTTTACAGATATGAATCATAATCTGTAATAGAAATATTTACTTTGTAATGTTACAAATATTTTGGCCATTTTCATTTAAAGTCAAACTTTTGGCAGTTGTGTGGCTTTGGGGTTTAAGGGAATATATGTATAGCTTTCCTTCATCAGAAATTAAATAAATATTTAAAATCTTCCTAAATACCTTCAATGTATTTGTATATCTACACTTTAAAGGTAGAATTTAATATTATATGTCACATTAGATATCAAGAATCAGAATAGCCAAGTTGTCTATATAGATTAATTCCTTTTTTTAAAAAAATAGAGAAGGGGAGAGGGATAGAGAGAAAAACCAATCAGCTGCCTCCCCAATCAGCCGCCTCCCGTACACTCCCCACTGGGTATGTGCCTGCAATCAAGGTACATGCCCTTGACTGGAATCAAGCTTGGCACCCTTGAGGCAACAGGCTGACACTCCATTCACTGAGCCAAACCGATTAGGCCTTCCCCTATTCTTTCATCAACCTTAGATTGGGTTACAAGAGATGCCTAAAAGAAAACCGTTAAGGTCATTGTTCCATTCTAGCCAGGACACATGGCCCATTTGTGGCTAGATTCCCATTGTGGGGCTTGAAGGAGGCAGCCAATCAATGATTCTCTCACTGATGTTTCTATCTCTCCTCCCTTTCTCTCTGAAATCAATATATATATATATATATATATATATATATATATATATATATATATATATATATAGTGTACTAGAGTCATGGTACAAGAATTCATGCACCAGCGAGTCCCTGAGGGATCAGGCCAAAACCAACTCTTTGACATCTCCTGAAAGTTCCTGGATTGTGAGGGCACAGGGCAGGCCAAGGGACCCCACCAGTGCACAAGTGGGGCCAGGGAGGGACCATAGGAGAGCTCCAGCTCATGTGCAGCCCAATCAGCCAGACCCCAGCAGCAAGCTAACCTACCGGTCAGATCATCTGCTCCCTGGTGGTCAGTACACATCACAGCACACTTAGTATATCAGGCTTTGATTGAACAGACAACCACTTAGCGTATCAGGCTTTTATTATATAGGATATAATGAAAAAGGTAGCAGAGTCTGGTAAGCTGGATGCGGGAGAGGATCAACTATGGTAGAATGAGATTTAAGAGTGGGATCAGGAATCTGTTAGGCTGGAGGTGGCAGAGAACAAGCACAATCCAACTGGAGTGGGGAAAGGCATAAAAAAAAATGAATAAAACCACCTTTGGATCCTTCAGAGTGCAAGGATTCTTGCTCATAGAAGGACCTGCACCTCCTGCCTATGGGTCAGCAGCTCTGAGGACTCTGGGTGGCCAACCTGTGATTACTGGCAGCATACAGCGGGCTCTGGGTCTGGGCCTCCTCATGAGACACAAGGAGGTGTATGGAAAGGTACTTGGGATGGGCAAAGGAGCTGTCCTCTTCATCCTGGACTCAGTGTCTGGAGAATGAAGAATCAGCTAGATGAGCAGTTTTCTGCTCAGGGTAGTTAGTTGCTTTGACAGACTGTGCTTGAGGCATGGCAGCCTTGATTGTGCCTGTACTCAGAGATTCAGTGACAACCATGTGGCACAAATGCCATCACTCTTTTCTTTCTTTCTTTCTTTTTTTTTTTTTTAATACATTTTATTGATTATTTACAGAGAGGAAGAGAGATAGAGTTAGAAACTCTGATGAGAGAGAATCATCGATCAGCTGCCTTTTGCACACTCCCTACTGGGGATGTGCCTGCAACCAACGTACGTGCCCTTGACTGGAATCGAACCCGGGACCCTTCAGTCCACAGGCTGACACTCTATCCACTGAGCCAAACCAGTTTCAGCACAAATGCCATCACTTCTTGCAATAACCTGGGAAAAGCTAAAAGCTTTCTGTCCCAGACTTGTCCACTGCTCACCATGCCAGGAGGAATTTTATTACCAACTATAATAAAAGATAGGGAGCAGGACTATGCTAGAATAGGACATCCTTAGCTCTGCCACAGAGGTGGGAGAGGCTTCCACCACCATCATAGCTGTGTTTGCCAGCTGTGAACCTGGCTTCTGCGAGGCACTCCCTTGGTGGGAGCGCACTGACCATCAGGGGGAAGCTCCTGCAGTGAGTGCCTGTCCTCTGGTTACCAGTGCGTGTCATAGCTACCATTGTTTCTGCCATTCAGTCGATTTGCATATTAGACTTTTATATTATAGGATACCTTGACAGATCACTGAAATTGCCAACTGATCCCAAATAGTAGCATGAGGAATGGCCCAAAAAGAAATATTATAACGTCCACTCATTGTTTGGGAGGACCTAGAGGGTTTGTGTCTGCAATAGAATTCCCCACTGGACTCACCAGTTTCGAAGAGGCAAAAGCCCAAAGGATATTATTATACTTTACTATAAATATGTTAAAGCTGCAGAATACTAGAGAATAAACTCTGATTTTGAGCAATATATGCCCTTATTGGAATATGAACAGGCTGCAGCATCATGAGCCTTAAAAGTATAAAGACTTGAATATTAGATCAAGTTTGTTTTCATATTCAAAGCTCTAATAAGTGAGATAGCAGAGGAAACAGCATCAGTCAGATTGACAATACTGATAAAGTATCCACAATAGCTTTTACATGATAAAAACTCTAGGGCATTTTCATTTTAAGTACAGAATGATTATGAGCTTTTGTCACATTACAGTCTACAAAAGTATCAATTCATGATTAATCTTGTTCTAAATCCTGAAACAGTACAGCCTCATTTTACTCTAAGGAGAGGAAAGACATTGAAATTTGGAAATAAACCACAAAACTATAATCAGAAGACATTCTGTCAGGGTACCATTATTCAGATCAAGAAATGGAAGAAGATAAAATGTGACTGGGATGAGTTTGTAAAAATTATCTTCCCAGAAGGAGGAAGACACTAGCACAATAAGATTTATACTGTACGATTCAGTTACAGAACTGTGATAAATTTCATGCACTAGGTACAGGGGCAATCTTTTTTCTGCTAAAGGTAAAACCCAGTAGGACTGACATTTTTCTGGGTTAAAATTGGTAAGGTATAATTTTAAGACCTGAATAGCAGGTTTCATATCTATTCAAGTGATATCACAAAAATATTTAGCCTTATTTTATACTGGATATAATTCATAACTTCTTGCAATCTGTATAGCAAGATTATGATGAAATATTTACAAAGTGGGGTGGGTAGGAGGCAGATGATTAATGATTCTCTCTCATCATTGGTTTCTCTTTCCCTTCCTCTCTGAAATCAATAATTTATATATTGATTATATATAAATAGTATATATATAGTCATCTTTTTTAGAGTGTTGAAACAAAAAAAAAAAAACATACAATAGTCTATGGAAATACTTTTCAAAAGTGCAGGATACTTAAAAATGTATGTTGTAAACCTGGCCTGGTGGCTCAGTTGGTTTAGAGTGTTATTCCTTCCTCCAAAAGGTTCAATTTCTAGTCAGGGGCACATATCTAGGTTTCAAGTCCTTTCCCTGCTTGGGCACATATGTTTTGCTCGCTCTCTCAAATATAAATAAAAACATATCCTCAGGTGAGAATTAGGAGACCACTAGAAATGTTTCTAAAAGTTATAAAATATTAATTCAATAGAAGAAATGAAATGGAATAATAAAAAATGCTCAATTAAGCCCAGAGAAAGAAATAATTGTTTAATAAATAAAAGAAAAAGCTGATCAAAACCAAATTTTTAATAACAAAAACATCTCAGTCAAAATTCTGCCCTACATGCAGACATTTTTTATGTAGCCATTTACTTAGCAGTCACTATACATTTGTAGTCTTAGTAAGCTCAGGGTTCCCAGCATAATGTCCTCAAGGTGCTTTTATCTTGAGAAAGGTTCACTTCAAGCAGAAACAATTCGTAAAGCAAGATTCATCTAATATTAGTCATCATGAGGTTACCCCACCTTCCTCAAAACTGCTGGCTGTACAGATTTTGTTTTTTGAGCTCTAGTCTCATGTTTGATGAAGTACACACTACAGGTTTCCTTTCCTACACTTTATTGTCCTGTGCATGCCAGTGTGGAGTTACTCAAATACTTCAACCAATCATAATGTCCATTTCTACCTGTGCCATTTTTTTTATCCATTATTTTAATTATAGTCTCAAAATTTATGAGATATTAAGATGATTGAAGCTGTAGTACATAGAACTGGAGTTTGTTCACTGGAAAGCCAGCTGACAATCCCTGGATATGAATTCATGATTAGGACAATTGACTAGTTCTGTATGCAGTTTTGTTTATTGCACATTGTCTATTGTCATAATGTCATTTTCAGACATTATAACAAATCTCACCAATAAAAATTCAAATGATATATAAGGGTAAGTTATTTGAAAACTAGAATTCTATATCCTGAAAAAATTTTTTAAAAAAAATGAGATAGCTTACCGACATTAAGTTCTCAAAATATTTCCCACACACCCCGATTAGGAAGTTACTGAAGGATATTCTCCAACAAAACAAGACACGAACCTCCAAATGGAAATACATAAAACAACTCAAAAAAGCCAAGGGTATCCCCCAGATATCCAAGCAGTTGGCTTAACGAACAACCTGCCTGCATTTGAGTGGATCAGATGGTTTCTTGAGTGGTCTGAAAAGCAAGTGGCAGAAAGCTAATTGTGTTTAAATTGAGATTTAAACTACTGCAGGGAGTTTGGGAATTAAGGATAAGGACATGGAAAACAACGCAAATAAGAAATATAAGTCAACTATTAATTACAGGAAAACAAAGGGAGAAACAAAATGCAATCATTGTGTAATACTTAAAAGTAAATGGCATTGGACAGAAGAGGATCCAAGATGGCTGCACAGGCAAACACATAGCCACAGCCGCACACAACTTCAATAAAATACAACTAAAATATAAAATGGACATTGCCCAGAGCTACAGTAAGTTGACTGACTGAAAATTCTACAAGAAGGAAAGAGAAAACCAGAAGGAAAATCAGAGGAGCTGTAAAAGCCTAAGGTACAGAGACATGCTGCGTGCCTGCACGCACGCGCGAGCGTGAGAGGACGGAGCCGGGGAGGAGGGGGAGGCTGAGTACCTGGCTGGCATTCCTTAGCGGGAAGGAAATAAAAGCTCTGGACTGGGCTGAACCCCAGGTCTAGGCCAGACCCGGGGACCCAGGCTCATGCAGAGGGAGACGGGGCTGTGAGGTGGAATCCCAGGGGAGCGGCGAAAAGCAGGGCCCCCGGAGTCGCACACATTGTGCGCAGAGAACGGACTGTTGACTCTGATGCTAGACTGCTCTGGCAGGAAGGAGATAAAGGTTCCAGGCTGGGAGGAGTGCGATGAGGAGCAGGAGATGCTGCCGGGCGCCGGCAAGGAGCCAAGCGACAGGGCCACTCGGGGGGGACATGCCGCTGGGCCTCGACCGCTGATCGCCGGCCATGGAGCCGAGGTCGGGGGCTGCTTCCTGGGTGGCGCAGACCCTGGCAACAGGATGAAGCCACGCAGGAGGCCGAGGAGAAAAAAGGGGCGTTGCGGGCCAGCCTGCTGAGCTTCTAGGACGAGGAGGAAGAAACCAAATTAGTTTTCAATGTGAAAAATCAAATTATAGCAAAAAGATAATAAAATTACTTAAGAAAGAATACAAAGAAGATCTTGAAAAATCGAAGATTAGGACAGAACTCAACTCAGCAGCCAACATTGCAACATAAATGCATTTGAAAAAAAAAAAAAAAAAAAAGACAATGTTGGAGCTGCAGCAGCCAGGCCCAGAGTGGCCAGGCCCAGGGCATTAGCAGCCAGGTCTGGAGCAACAGCAGCCGGATCCAAAGCAGCAGCATCCAGGCCCGGAGCAGCCAGGCCTGGGGTGGTGGCAGCCAAGCCTAGGGCAGCCAGGCCCGAAGCAGCAGGGCCCAGAGCAGCTGAGTCGGGAGCAGCCAGGTCCGGAGCAGCAGCAGCCAGGCTGGCAGTGGCCAGGCCCAGAGTGGTCGGTCCTGGAGTGGCAGCAGCTGGGCCCGGAGCAACAGAGGCCAGGCCCAGAGCAACCGGGCCTGGAACAGCTCGTTCCTCGCCTGCCCATACCCCAGGGCTGCTTCTCAGACATGGCTGGAAACTTTTGGGGGAACCTGAGGGTCTGCTGAATCAAGTGATGAAGGCTTAGATCTGGTTGTGTTGAGTTGTTGTAACGCTGGGGTGTTGATCTGTGAGTGCCTTGTGTGGGGTTTGGATGAGGTTGGTTGATTATTTGGATATGTCTTTTGTTTGAAGTGTATCCTTGGGAATGTGGAGGTATTATTGATTTGAGAAAATGTTAATTAATTGATGTGCTACCTGAAAAATTTAAAGTTCTGAAAGTTTAAGGTCTCTTAAAGCTAATACCTTAATTTTAATGGAGAAAAGGGGAGGACATGCCCTTCCCACCCTGCCCTTCCCATCTGGAACAGGTAATCCAATTCCAGCCAGCAGCTATCTTTAAACAATGTGTTCATTTACATTTGAATGGCTACACCTTTTGATAGCTCAAGGGCAAGTTTACATGTAAACAAGTTTGCTTCTCAGTTCCCAGGGCAGAAAAAAAAAGGTTTAAAATTATTAGATTTTAAAATTTATTCTTAAAAATATAAAAATTTATTAATTAAAAAAAAACAAGGAAGTTAAAAAAACCTGATGAACAATATTAACTGTAGATTATAATAGAATCAGAGATACAGGAGGGGAGTGGACTGACAATTCTCGGGGAAAAGGGGAGTGGTGGATGCGGGAAGAGACTGAATATAAACTGCGCCTATGGATGAGGACAATGGGGGATGGGGAAAGGGCAGAGGGTTGGGTGGAAACCTGGTGGAGGGGGGACAATTATTACTTTTGTAATAATATGAACAATAAAGATTAATTTTTACAAAAAAGAGTTGGAGAAACCATGATGGTGGCATAGGTAAACACTTGAACTTGCTGCTTCGCACAACCACCTCAAATTACAACTAGAATCCAAAAATATAGTGTAAGAAGCCTCTGGGACAAATTCAAGCATACCAACATCAGAATTATGGGGATGCCAGAAGAGAGAGCAAGATAGTGAAAACCTATTTGAAGTAATAATGACAGAAAACTTCCCCTATCTGGTGAAAGAAATAGACTTACAAGCCCAGGAAGCACATAGAACCCTAAACAAAAGGAATCCAAACAGAACCACACCAAGACACATCATAATTAAAATGCCAAGAGCAAAAGACAAAAAGAATCTTACAAGCAGCAAGAGAAAAACAGTTACCTACAAGGGAGCACCCATATGATTACTAGCTGTTTCTCAACAGAAACTATGCAGGCCAGATGGGAGTGGCAAGAAGTATTCAAAGTGATGAATAGCAAGAACCTACAACCAAGAGTACTTTACCCAGCCAAACGCATTCAGAATTGAAGGTCAGCTAAAGAGCTTCACAGATAAGAAAAAGCTAAAGGAGTTCATCACCACCAAACCAGTATTATATGAAATGCTAAAGGATATTCTTTTAGAAGGGGAAGAAGAAAAAGGTAAAGATAAAAAATTATGAACAACAAATACATATCTATCAATCAAAAAGTGAATCTAAATATCAAATGAATAAAAAATCTGATGAACAGAATAAACTGGTGAATACAATAGAATCAGGGGCATAAAAAGGGAGTGGACTGACAATTCTCCGGGGGAGATTGTGTGGGGAGTATGGGAAGAGACTGGACAAAAATCGTACACCTATAGATGAGGGCAGTGCAGAGGGGGGTTAAGGGCAGAAGGTGAGGTCAGAACCAGGTGGAGGAGAGCTGGGGAATGAGGGGGAAGGAGGGAAAGAGGAACAACTCTAATAACCGGAACAATAAAGATTCATTTTTTTTTTCTTAAAAAAAAAAAACAAGAGTTTTACAATAGCTCATCATTCAGAATGTGTTACTGTACAGATTTTAAGAGGTTTTGAATCTGTTCCAGTATAGAAATAAGGCCAAAGTACTCCTGTAAAATAATCATTAAAAATATAGAGAAGAGATCTATCACTCAAATTGTAAAAGGAAACCTCACCCAACTCATAGTCTAAAAAAATTCCAATTTTACTAGGCATTACTTTTGGCACAAGATATATATTTTTAGGACCGAATGCAATATAATCATTTTGACCTCTTCGCTCAATACACCACAATCTATTCTGTAAAAAAATTGATGGATTCTGACTCCTTCTTTTTCTGGGAATATTATGTTTACAGACACCCAAGATCCATTCAAGCTTGTCATTCACTTCTACCTCCCAATAGTGTCTGCCAGAATTATATCCCTCAGAACCCAGAATAGCTGGGCCATTATAAAATCTCCTTGGGTTACGAGGTAAGTTTTGCACCCTATGTCCATATCGCACTGTCTTGCGATCACCTGAGACAGTAAGTTTATTATTTGCTGTTTCAGGATCTAAAAATACAGGAACTTGAAATCGCTTGATAATTATGTTTAGGCCAGAATATTGTGGAGGAAGATGGTAACCATACTCCTTTAACTGGAATGAAAAAGGTAGAGGGGCCTTTGAGGATTTATATCTATGGCAGATCCTTTTAACTTTTGTCAGGAATTCCAAGTCTGACTTCACATATTTGCTCTCTATCTCCTTTGAGAGATTTTTTAATGTGGAAATATGATCTGAAAATTTTGTTAGGTTTTCATTTAGCTTTGTTAAAATATCAATTTCTTCATCTATTAATTGCTGAAGAACAGTCTCTCGCTCACTTTGGAGGAACAACTCAAATTGTTCAAATTCAGATCTTATTTCTTCTCTCCTATATTCTACCTTCTTCTTCAGTTCCAATAATTTTCTGGTTTGCATAGTTATCACTTTTTCACCTTGTTCCATTCTTTCCTTCCATGGTTCAATGCAGACCTCCAATTTTTTCCGATATTTGGGGACAGCTTGTTCTATGGGCCAAATGTTATGACCCTGGTGTTCACTGGAGACACACTGTGAACATAAAACCTCTAAGTCCTTTTCACAGAAAAAATTCAAAATCTGATTGTGCTTTTTACATAAAAACTCTTCTTTTCCCTTCCTCTTGCTTCTTCTTACCTGGAGTAGCTTGGCAATTTCAGTCAAATTTCCCAGCAAGGGGTTGCTTGCAAATTTCCTTTCTAGACAGCAAAATCGGCAAATGGGGCAGGGGAATATATTAGTTCGATCCTTCCAGAACACATTGAGGCAGGAGAGACAGAAGTTATGACCACAATAAATGGTCACTGGGTTTTTCAAATAGTCCAAACAAACAGGACATCTAGCCCCTGCTTGAAAGTTTGCTAGTGCTGTTTCAAACTCCATTGAACTGTAAACAAAGGTGGTGGTGGATAAAGGTAATGTGTCCTTTAGTAAGGCCTGGCTTTAGCTTCAAGACACAGACAGCGGTGGATATCCCCCCGTAGACCTCACGAACTGACAAGCTTGGTTTCACTGGCTTGGCATAATGATAGCATCTTCTTTGTTTATCCCTTAGCCCCTTAGCTTTTGCCAAGTATGCGCCACAGGCTGCACCAAGTATAACCACTTTTGTGTCTTAGAACATATTGGCTGGACTGCTACTCTTCTCATTCAATGATATGAAGTCAAGCTTAATGATTTTCTTTGAGAAAGTAGACTTGGGTCTAAGACAGGAATCCTTCCTATGGATGAGAAAAGACATTAAATTAAAAAATATGATCCCACAATCACCAATGTATTAAAACATAAGAATCACCAATGAATGCTAAAATCATTGTAAATTCTTTAAAAAACAGGAATTGATAGTTGTAAACTTCATACATTTTTTATTAACCAAAAAAACAACAAAAATATTGAACAGACTTTCTTTGCTTCTTGATGTGATGCAATAATAAATAGCATTGTCCATAAAGTATTCTTGTCTAAAATATTCCATCTCAATCTTATTAAAGAAGTTCTAGATTTAAGGCTATAAAGCTATTACAAATGAAATGTGCACATTTAATCTGGGATCTTAAAAAGTTAAACATTTTGGGGTCAAATATGAGAATTTTAGTACAGATATATTACAGAAGTATTGTTTTTAATTTATCATATTAATTATTATAGGTAAGAAATAAAAAAGTCCTTTTACTTAAGAAATATATGGGATGGGGGGAATGGGAGACATTTGTAATACCATTAATAATAGTAAGTGGTCTTCCTGTATGCCCAGGGAACCATATCTGCAAGACAAAGACCCCAGAAGGTTATAAAAAGTGAAGCCCTCTGTGTCTCTTCACTCTGATTTGGAAATTATTCCCAGAGTCCACTAATGTTAATAAACAGGGTCCTTCCCTTTCTATAGGAAAAATGCTTGGTATTTCTTTGGTCTTCTGCAACACCATCACCCCACTGCTGCAGCCACTGCCAGCCACCACAGCCACCAAGGTGTTTTCATCAACATGTACTCCAGACCCTTCACCATGAAAAAAATGACAACTTTCTTTAGGTAATTTCAAGATGTGTCTTTCATAGAATATGACATTTCTTTATTTCATTTTTTATCCTCACTTGAGGATATGTTTCCATTGATTTTTAGAGAATATGGAAGAGAAAGGGAAAGAGAGAAATATCAAAGTGAGAGGAACACTTTGATTGGTTGCCTGCTGCATGACTCCTGACTTGGGCCCTAACCAGGGAGGAGCTTGTAACCTAGGTACATACCTAGGTTACAAGAATTGAACCCAGACCCTGCAGTCACCAGGCAAGGGATTATCCACTGAGCCAAACCGGCTAGGGCAGGATATGACATTTCCTAGCCCTTCAGCAACAGACCTTCTTTTTGTTCTCTAGGAGTGTGGTAGAAAAACCCTAGATCACCTTTTTGAATACTTATTACCCAAGTTACTAAGAATATTACCAGTGGCATACAGGGAACTTAGACAATGAGTGGTCAGAAAAGGTGTTTCCTCTGTACTTCACACCAATCTGTGGCTAGGCCCCTGGCCAGGCCTAAAGCCTCAGGACCTTAGCAGGGGCTCCCCACCTCCCTCCAATCTCTGGCTCTGCCCCTGCCCAAGCCTAAAACTTCTGGCCAAGGCTTTAAGCTTAGATAGGGGCCCCCTTGGTTTGGATTGTCAGCTTAGCCCTGGGCAGGGGCTTCCCAGGCTGCCCAAGGGCCTCCAGGGGCCTACCTTTGAGTGACCAGGGTACCGAGGATGTTCTCGGGACCCAAGCGGACGGGTGCCTACATATGCAAATTAACTTCCATCTTTGTTGGATTAATTTGCATACTCACTCTGTGGGCTTAGGGGAGGTACGGTCAATTTACATGTTTGACTATTATTAGGTAAGAAGATCAGGGGCATAGAAAGGGAGTGGACTTACAATTCTGGTGGGGTGGGGTGGTTGTGGGTGGTTTGGGAAGAGACTGGGAGTCGGGCCTGTACAGTGAGTGGAAAGCATATATTCTGACCTCCTGCTCCACAACAAGGTCTGGTGGCTGTCCAGAGGCGAGGTGTTAAAACGCTTTGTCGCATGTTTGGAAGAAGTAAAAACTTTCCTGGCCAGCAAAGAGCTCACCTTTCCTGAGCTGAACAACCAGAGTGGCTGGAAAAATTACATTTTATGGTAGACATGACAGCACATCTAAACACACTAAATACAACCCTTCAGGGGAAAGGAAGCACAGCCCTGCACATGCTGGAGGAGGTTTTGGCATTCGAGCGCAAGTTGACAGTGTTTGTCAAAGATTTACAGAGAGGTGCACTGTCTCACTTTCCCTCTTTGAGAGAGTTCAAAGTCATGATACGATAAATTTGGAATATTTGAAGTCTGCAATCACCACAATGCAAAGTTCATTTGGGAAACGATTATGTGAGTTCAGAGAAGAAAAAAACACATTATCCTTCCCTGTCACTCCCCTGGCGATCGATCCATCCCTATTGAATATAACTGCATTTGCAGGTGTAAGTCTACCTGATCTTGAGATGGAACTGGCCGATATAGCCGACAAAGATATATGGGTGTCCAAGTTCAAATGCTTGGCCGCTACTCTTGAGGATGTTGCCCGTCAGAAGGCCATTCTGGCTCAGAATCATAAATGGAGTGATATTGAAAACCTTCCCAAACAGGACAAACTTGTATTCAAAACATGGAATGCCATCCCCAACACTTATATAAACATGAAAAAGTATGCATTTGGAGTCCTGTCGATCTTCGGCTCCACATATGTATGTGAGCAGGTCTTCTCCAACATGAACTATATTAAAAACAAACATCGATTACACCTCACAGATGACAACTTGCAAGCCTGTGTGAAAATGAAGGTAAAGTCTTACAGCCCTGATGTGCAGACACTGCACTGAGGTTCAGAAGCAAAAATCCCATTAACCAGGTAAATTAAATATTTTAATTAACTATTAATTTGCAAAAATATATTTTACATTGTTAAGTGAAAAAGTCCTTTTTTTCTTCAGATTGACAGCTAACTGCACGATCCAGTATATAGCATTAAGGTAAGAAACAATATATGCAGTGTTATATTTGTTTTAAATGTCGCAATGGTTTTGTGGCTCCCAGGTTTTTTTTTTTCCTTCGAAAACAGGTCCAAGTGGCTCTTTATGTCTTAAAGGTTGCAGACCCCTGGTCTTGAAGGTACACTTAGAAGTTCAGAAAACAAAATAAGTACCCTTTGTAAAAGGTATTTACATTTGTAAGGGAAGCCTTCATTTGTAGATGTGTCTCCCTGGGCTGGGCCAGGATGACTTTAGCTCTAGGGATTTTTATCAGTGCAGAAGACAATGAGTTAAATCTGCACAAATTTATAGTGCTTCCCCCTCCCTGCTATACCTTTTACGGTATAACTGACCCCCCACCTCCTCCCCATCGCCTTTTTAAAAAATTTCATTTAATTGTTTAAAGTAGTACATATCGCTCCCCCATAGATCTTCCCCCAGCCTCCCCTATTCCCTGTCACACGTCATCTTTGTTTCCAGTTATTTTGGACCCAGTTTTCTTGGGTCTCTCAGATGTATGCAGCAGGTATACATCTTGGGTGGACACAAGATGGACACAAACCAGGCTAAAAACTTTGAATTTTCTGTACTCTTCGAGTGGGCTGCACCTAGCAACTTCCTTCTTAAGAGGAACATTTGAAAAGACAAACACTACCACAGCCAGGTGATCAAGGTCAAGATCAACAGTGAAAAGTCATGTTGAACCCAGCTGTTGTGTATCAGTGGTTGAGAGTCAATCTATGAACTACAAGGTCATGGTTAGTTTCCTGGTCAGGGCATATGTCCAGGTTGCAGACTCAGTCCCCAGAGGTGGTTGTGGGTGCAGGAGGCAGCTGATCTATGGTTCTCTGTCATCTGATTGATGTTTCTATCTCTTCCCTGATTGAAATCAATAAAATATATATATTTTTATTTTTTTATTTATTTTTTAAATATATATATATATATATATATATATATATATATATATATATATATATATATTTTTTTTTTTTAAGTCATGTTGATAGTATGCCCCTTAATATGATGTGATGAGAAAAATACTTTACCTCTCATGGTCTTCCTCCTCAAAAACCACAATCCAATATAACTATGAGAAAAACACCCCATTCCCCAAATAGGGGGACGTTCTACAAAAGATTCCTCAACATCGTCAAGATCATAAAAATCAGGTAAGTGAGAAAGAGACTAATGAAACATGACAACTAAATGTAAAGTGCTCAATGGGATTTTGGAAGGCATAAGTGAAAAGCTAGGAAATCTGAGTGAAGTATGGATTTTAGATACTAACAATGTATCAGTACTGGTCCATTAGCTGTGACAATGTGCCATACAATTAGAAGATGTAATAATAAGGGAAACTGTGTGTGTGTGGGGGGGGGGGTAGGGAAGCTCTCTGTACTATCTTTACAACTCTTCTGTAAATCCATAACTCTTCTGGAATGAAGTTTACTTTTTAAATTGGAAGTGAGGTTGCATAGAGTCGTCAGAAGTTAGAAAATAGAGGCTGAAAGATGTTTTATGAAACTTATCCAATATCACGCAGCTAGTCAATTGCAGAGCTTAATGGGAAAACTAAAATCAAAAGAAAAAATTATGTAACTGTTAAGAAAGTATGTAATATCCCCCCCCCCCTCCACACACACACACACACACACAAAGGATTCTGGTGCTGAGGAACATAGTAGATATTCACTCCAAGTATCGAATTGTACCCTCCATTTCCCAAGCTCCCATTCAAAGGCATCACATAGATACCATTGTGTCACAACGGCTGGCTCACTGGTCTTCCCTCCTTTTCATAAGTCAGGCCATTAACAAAATAGACCATGAAGTGAACACAAC